ATCTTTGCCTTTGGTTGGCAGGGCCATGAGTGGAAAGAACTATTTACTGGGCTGTTTTTCTTCTAAGTGTTTACCCTTCTGTCCCTGCACTTCTTTTGTAATAATGTTGTAATAGATGTCTGGGTTTCAGTTTAAAAATTCACACTGCTTTTTCCTTTCCCTTTGGAGCTGCCAAGGTGTTTAGAAAGTTGGAGGAAATAAAAAGAAGTCATTAATTTGAAATATTGTTGGCTGTCTGCTCTATCTACTTACTTCATATACCTTTTTCATATTTATCTTCCTAGACTGTTTTCTGATTCTCTTGTGCTTTTGTTTTAACATATAGTCAAAGCTTTGTTGTTGTTAGTGCTGCAGAGTCGATTCTAACTCATAACAATCCTGGATAGGGTTTCCAGGGTGCTGCTGGTGAGTTTGAACCACTGACCTTGCATTTCAGATGACCAAGTAGTCCAGTGCTTATCCTGCAGCACCATACCAGGACACCAAACTTCCTATACATTGATTTAAGAGAAGGAATAAAGATAGAATAGACACTATCCTTAAGAAAAATACAGTTGAATTAGGGAAATCAAAAAACTGAGGGGAGTACATTGTTGGGTTTGAATACTTAGGTTCTAATCTCATCCTTCTCATAATTATCTTTGTGACTTTGTTAAATTTCTTAACTACTAAGAGCCTCAGTTTCTGTTCTGTAATGTTGTTAAATGATATTCTGAAATTTGTTAAATGATATCTCAGAGTGTTTTTGCTTCACTCTTTTAAAGTTTTCTCAAGCATTATTAAGTGCTTATTGTGTGCCATGTACTGTTCTGACTGCTAGAAATATATTAGACAAGGAGTCAAGTACAGCTCCTGCTCTCCTTGATTTTATTTTATGATCAGATGTGGATTTCTGTCTTTGTCACTAGAAAGCAGAAATAGTCACTTAAAGATCATCTGAGTTCTACCCAAATTATACACAAGTCCTGGCCTTGTGTCTAATTTGGGTAGAACCATTGCAAGTCATTTAAATACTCTGTATTCTTCTCTTTTCTAATCTGTAAAATGAAGGATATAATACTTGATCTGTTTAACTTGCACAGTTTTTTTTTTTTCCTTTTAAATATTTTATTGTGAATTATGTGATAGTTTACATGGGAGAACATTAATTTTACATTCATTCTATCTATCATTGCCATGGTTACAATCCCCTCCATGCATCATCAACCAACCAAAGGGTATACCCTGCAATCCTTCCCCCTGTAACTCCCAGGTCTTCAGCACACAGTCGCTCTCCCTCTCTGGATCTAAAGTCTCCAGCTGCTCTATCACTCCAAGTCATCATCTCTGCCTCCAT